TACTCATTGCGGAATCGAGTCTGTAAATCATATAAAGCGATATGATAAACATTTCAAAGTTGATGTTTCTTGCCCTTCAATAATAAAACAGTATAACCGACAAATTAGAAGTGTGGAGATGTATGTGGCTAGTATATAAACATTGTACTCAGCTAAAAGTAAAACCAATACCTGTAAAAAATTTAAAATGGACATAGCTGAATCTTTTTACCAAACAGGTAAAATAAAAAAAAGAGGCGCCCTTCACTGACCGAGACAGTCGAAAATATTGTAACTCCTACGAAAAGTGGACCACCTAACATCACTAGGAAAGACAACGTAGGACACTGGCCTATCTATAGACCAAAAGGAAGATGCCGATTTTGCAAGAATGGCTGCATGATGTTCGGTGTCAAAAATGTGACATAAGACCATGGTTTACACCAGCAAAATTTTTTTTTAAATTTGTATCACCCATCATATTTTTTTTGCTTAGTTCTGTGGTTTCTCTTATATATTATAAGCCCTAAAAAATTACTTTTGTTAGTGATGATCCCTCGTCTGCACAATACAAAAATTTTAACCTCAAACTGTTACTGTTGCTTTGGAGCAACGTTCTCATTAGATCACTAATGGATAATGTTTTTAATCTCCACTTTTTGTACAAAAACTGCATATACCAACACCACTGATACGTTCACAGTCACTTAAAAAAACACTTACACGAATTTTTAGAATTTGATTTCAATGAATGTGGTGTGACGGAAGTATAATATATTAAAATATATATTAAAATGTTTATTTTTAAGTATAAAGATACCTTTTTTATAAATAAAAAACAACGTCGAAATTTATGCAGAAGACGAATAATTACGTGTTTTTTACTTTAGATATATATTAACGGAAAAACTCGTCAAATGTCTGGCTATTGCAATATCCTGAACCAGATTAAATTTTCCTTATTTCCCTGATGTAAAAAACAATTAATGAGTTAAAAGAGACGTTGCAATTCTAATTGCACTTACAGGCTGAGGTTACTTTTAAGAATAAGACAGCGTCATTAGTATTTGCATCTTATAATTGACAATTATAATTCCTACAATCTCCAATATCATTGCTTAATAATATGAATCAAATTGATGAAAAGCATGTAACTTTATTCATCTCTTTAATTATTTGGTAATTTATATTTTGATACGATTTAAATTTGATTTGATGAATACTATAAAGAACTTCAAAGAATATTACTGAAATTTAAAGAATATACCTAATTATTAAAATTGTTCAAATTGACTTTTAGGAAATTTTTAAATGATTATAAGCAACTATTTTGTATTCATTAGCTAAATAGTACTAAGAAAGTGGTAGTATATACAGTGTGTCAATTTTAAAAATTACAATCGGATATATCTCACGAACAAAAGCTGCTATCGAAAATTGCTTCAAACCGTTTCTAGGATAGTAAGGGGCAGCTAAAATGTTATGAAAGAGAGCTCACTTCCTAAGTTCACCCACCACAAACAAAAAAAAGTTTAAATTACAAACCCCTACTTGTGATACATACATTGTTGATTTTGTTGATGAACCTGTATAATTATTGTTTACTAATTTTCTTCTTCGGTCGGCAATCATCATAGCTATTTGCCATTTTTGCAAAACAAGTTAAACATCTGTTTTTTGGGTTCTGTCAGATTCAATAATTTTTGGTTTATTTAAGAATTTTAAATGTCATTAGTTTTCATCATTTGTACTGTCATTTAGATGTAGTTGGCACGATGGTTTACAGTATACCTGAACGCGTGGGGATCATTTTCATATATGCCTCCCAAAATCAGTGTTATTTACGAACAGCTCAAATATTTCATGAAAGGCATCCGGACAAAAATGTATGTCACGTGTACGTCCATGATTTAGTTATAAAAAGTTTAGAGAAACGGGATCAGTTCAAAATAAAAAAAAAAGGATATGCTTCAAGATTACTGAATAAAGCATCCCAAATTTGAGTCCTTGGAAATTTTGTAATAGAGTCTACTGCATCAACACATCAAATGTCTGCAATGACAGGACTTTCACATAAGTCGTTTAGAAAGGTGTTGAAATTTCATAAGCTTCGTCCGTACAAAACACAAATTTTTCAAGAACTAGGCGATGGTGATCCAAACCGACGAATTGAGTTGTGTGAACTCATGACTGAACGAATTCGCGTTGAACCACGAATGTTAAAAAATATTTGTTTCATTTATGAATGTACTTTTATGCTGAATGGTAATGTAAATAAATAAAACTGTCGGTACTGGAGTGATGCGAACCCGCATCGATTTAGAGAAGTTTAAACTCAATACCCTGAAAAAATGAATGTTTGGGCAGAAATATTCTTCTTATGGCGCCGTCTCCTTTCGAATAGATTGGAAGGAGAGGTCCGATTAAGTGACCACCGAGGTCACCAGACTTACCGCCACCTGACTTTTTCTATGGGGTTACCTCAAGTCAGTTATTTATAAAAGTCAACTTGCTTTACTTGGGGAATTGTGAGAAAGAATTACGGCGTTTTAGCATTTCGCGCTATTTCTAGAACAACGTTTGCCAAATTTCGTGAAGAATTTGAAAATAGGCTGTATTATTGTTTACAAAACAACGGAACCTACTTTAAACATTTACTTAATTGACATTTTTAACAAATTTGTGATTCAACAAAAACCTCATTAAATTTTCCATTTAAGCTAAAGTTTCACAATTGTTGCTTCAGCCTGTATAATTATTATTTATACCATTGGATCAAATAAATAAGACGATCACAAAGGCAATAAGAAAAGACATAAAAAACTACAATGTAGAAAAAACAAAACAGGTAATAGAGAAAAATAAGAACATGAAAGTTTTGAAGAGGAGCGTACAAAAGGGGAAAATAGAAATTAACAAACTGAGAAACAGAACTGGAGAAGAAACAACGAACAGAGATGAAATATTAAGAATAGCCGAAGAGTTGTACACAGAGTTATATAGATCAAGAAAAAAAGATAACAATACGGAACCACCAATTAGACTAAAAACTGGGGTATTAAACCAAGGATCAGATTTAATGCCCAATATAACAAAATCAGAAATCAAAGAAGCCCTGAAGAAAATGAAAAATTATCGAACCCCGGGTAAAGATGGATTAGTATCAGAAGCACTAAAAATTGGAGGGGATGATATATATATATATATATATATATATATATATATATATATATATATATATATATATATATATATATATATATATATATATATATAAGTTGTTTACGCGAATACTAGATAAGAGAATGGAAAGAAAATTAGAGACTTATCAACCAAGGGAACAGGCAGGATTCCGAAAAAGTTACGGAACAAATGACCATCTACAAAGTATAAAAACCCTAATAGAGAAAGCAGTGGAATACAATAAACCTTTAGTTCTAATATTTATCGATTTTCACAAAGCCTTTGATAAAGTTGAGCTAAGCAAAATATTACAGGCGCTTAAAGAATGCAGGCTAGATTATAGATATACTAAATTATTATACAAAATATACTTGCAGGCAACAACCACTGTCAGATTACATACTAACAGTAATCGCATAAAAATAGAACGGTGGGTTAGACAAGGAGACCCAATGTCACCTAAACTTTTTAATACGGTGCTAGAACAGGCTTTTAAGAATTTGGATTGGATGACAAAGGGAATAAAAATAGATGGAGAATATCTAAACAACTTACGTTTCGCTGATGATATACCTACTTATAATAGCTGAAGATCAGGTATGGCAAGAGAGATGGTACAGGAACTCGTTGTGGCTAAAGAAAATGTAGGTTTAAATATAAATATCTCGAAAACAAAAATCATGACCAATTTGGTGCCCAACCAGAACATGACCATTGGTGGGAAAGAATAGAACTCGTAGATAGATATAAATCCCTGGGACATGAAATTATGATTGGCAGAGATAACCAGACTCATGAACTGAAGAGAAGAGTCGGCCTTGGGTGGGCAGCATTTGGAAAACTGAGAGAAACTTTTAAAAGTGAGCTGCCCACATGCCTAAAGAGAAAGGTATTTGATCAGTGCGTCCTTCCAGTCTTGACGTACGGAGCAGAAACACTTACCTTTACAAAAGCAGCAGCTACCAAACTGAGAGTCACGCAGAGAAGAATGGAGCGGTCCATGTTAGGAATAACTCTCCGAGACAGAATACCAAACGAAGACATCAGGAGAAGAACCGGAGTGACTGACATAATCGAGAATCTAGCCAGACTAAAATGAAGATGGGCAGGACACATAGCCAGAATGACAGATGGGCGATGGACAAAGAGGTTATTGGAATGGAGGCCAAGGGAAGACAAGAGAAGCGTCGGTCGACCACCTACAAGATGGACTGACGATTTAAGAAGGCTCAATAAAAACTGGATAAGAGCGGCGCAAGATAGACGGGGTTGGAAACATGAGGAAGAGGCCTATGTTCAGCAGTGGACTCTTGAGGCTGGATGATGATACCATTGGATAGCATTTTTTATAGTATTTTCAATGATGTAATTGCAATTTAAACTTTTTTGGTTGTGGTGGGCGGAGCCTAGTAGGTTGATGGAGGTGAGTCCTCTTTCATGTCATTGTAGTTTCCACTTACTATTCTAGTAACGGTTTTAAGTATTCTTCGATATCAGCTTGTTTTCATGAGATATAGCCCATTGTAAGTTTTAAAATTGGTACACTGAATAATTAAGAAATAAAACTAGAATTAGTAAATTTTAACATTAGTGGCCAATTTTTTTATTGTTGATATTAATCTTAATATAATAACTAATTAAATAGATAGTAATAAAACTAACAAAATAACTTACACGCACGATAATAACATACTGGTCTACTTATTTACTCATCACACAATTATTTATGATTTTTAAAGCAGTTGTTGGAAGAGGCCCAAATCAAATTTTAGTTTGACTGTCTAAGAATGGAAGTATGTATTTGATCATCATTTTTCATGGAATATAATTTTTTACAGCCGGAAGAATCCAACCAGCCAATTTCTGTACAATGGCAATTCGATGCGGTAAGATTATTTAAAAGTTCAAAGTGCGTGATCGGTACTCTTAAGATTATTAAGAGTATGTAGACAAAATTTAGTTAAAACATGTACTACCCCTCCAGGGGCAGCGTTATCCCCTTTGACAAAAGTTAATAATTGGTAATTAATGACAACAGTTTATTTCAGAAAGCAATAACTACATTTTTAGTAGGCAGTGAGTATTGGGCAGTTTACATTACGATTAAAATAATTTTACCTAAAAAACGTTTTTGTTTGATATTTTACCATTTTAATTAAAATTTTAGATCCTAAAGGGAGTAGAATTTTAAAGAAATCTTTAAAAAGTTTGCCTTTTATATGTTTCTAGCGACTTAAAATAGAGAAACAATGTATTACTACTACTTTCTTATTTTTTAGTCATAAAATTCGTCTTTTACCCGTCTACATAACTATTATATAATTTAGCTCTCCAGGCCTAGAAGGCCCATTGCTTGGTTTACTATTCTTTTCCATTCTTTTCTGTTTGTTGCTTTATTTTTCCAGTTTGGTATTTTAAGTTTTTCTATGTCTTTTTCAACATCCTTCTTCCACCTGGTTTTCGGTCTGCCTTTCTTCCTTTTCCCTCCTATTCCTCCCATTAGCATTCTTTTTGGCAGTCTCGTGTTTCCCATTCTTTGGATGTGTCCCAGCCATCTCAGTCTTTGTGACTTTACGATTTCTATGATATTCGGTTCTCCATACATCTCCTCTTATTCCATATTTGGTCTTTTTATTCATATACCATTCCATAATTTACCTCCAAATATTTTCCTGGGGACTTTTCTTTCCCAGCTTTGCAGCAGGACTTGCTCGGATTTGTTCATTGTCCATGTTTCACTGGCATATAATACAATAGGTCTTATTACTGTCTTATATATTCTTATCTTAGCCCTTCTAGATATGTTTTTGCTTCTTAATAAATTGTTTAGTGCAAAAATACAACGGTTACCGGCCATAATTCTCGCTTGGATTTCTTCCTTCATATTTGGTCTTCTCGTGAATGTCGCTCCTAAATACTGGAATATTTCTACGTCTTCGAATTTATATGTTTTTTCATCTGTTATTACTGTCAGATATTGTTCTTGTAGGTAATCTCTTTCTGTCCATTTCATATATTTGGTATTTTCTTCATTTATGTACATCCCTTTCTTTCTCGCTTTCATTTCTAATCTTATTGTTATTTCTTTTAATTCTTGCTTACTTCTGGCTATCAGTACAATGTCGTCAGCGAATGCTAAGCATTGGTGTTTTCTTTGATATATAAGTCCTGAACTGTTGATTCCAGCTTCTCTGATGGTAACTTCGAGGATGATACTGAACAACAGCGATGACAGTGGGTCTCCTTGTCGAACCCCCTCACTGACCTCAAACTTATCTGTTTCTTCGCCATTTATTTTAACCCTATTCTCTGTTCTTCGTAGTGTCACTTTTACCATTCTTATCAGTTTTTCACTAATTCTCATTTCACGTAGTGCTTTGTATATTTCTTTGCGTTTTGTCCTATCGAACGCTTGTTTAAAGTCAATGAATAGGGCCATTTTAGGTTTCCCATATTCGTAGCTTTCTGCTTGTATTTCGAGCAGTAGAAAAATTTGATCCACTGTGCTGCGTCCTCTTCTAAATCCACATTGATATTCCCCTATGTCATTATCTATATTTTGAGATAGCTTATCTTTTATAATATACTGCAAGTATTTTATATGCAACATTTAGTAGGGCTATTCCCCTGTAATTGTGGCATAAACTTTTGTCGCCTTTTTGTGAAAAGGGCACAGTGTCGCTTCAGTCCATTCCTTCGGTAATTTTTCTTGTTCCCATATGCCTTTTCCAGCAACTTTTCCAAATGCTTAATTAGTACTGGTCCTCCATATTTAAACATTTCAGCTGTTACTTCATCTCTTCCTGGGCTCTTATTATTCTTTAGTTTCTCTATTATTTCTTTTATTTGTTTTTCGTCAGGCGGTCTTCCCTCTATTCGTTCTTGATCGACATTTTCCTTCACTTCTTCTTCCTCTTCATATTCTGTTGTGGGAATTTCATTTAACAGTTCTTCAAAGTATTCTTTCCATCTGCTCAATATTTCTTCGTCACTTACTAAATTTCTTCTACTTTTGTTTTTGTAGTGTACAGGTTTTCCTTGGTACCCCTTTTTCTTATCTTTCATCCCTTGATATAAGTTTCTAATTTCTTTATTTTTATAGCTCTGTTCTATACATTTTAATTTATCTTTATTGTATTTTCTTTTCTTTGATCTTATTATTCTTTTGGCTCTTTTTCTTTGTTCATTGTATTTTCTCTCTATCTCTGTTGTTTTTTCTTGCATCATTTTTATTCTTAATTTATTTCGTTCATCTAGTTCCATTTTACATTCATCGTTGAAACACTTCTTTGTATTCGTGTTTTATATTTCTATTACTGGCCTGAGCTGCTTTGGTCATACATACTGTTATTTGCATCCATGTTTGTTCAATATCCCCACTTTCTGCAATATTATCTAATATTACAATAACATAACTATTAACTACTTAGATTTCCCTTGTGGTAAATTTGGACTACAAGGATTGGTTTACATTCCATAAAACACAGTTCCGACTTTTTCAGTTCTATTTCCCCCTTTATGTAATCCCAATTCTCATTTAGGTTGCATCCTTTAATTTGGTACCAAAATTTTTGTAATAAAAGTCTTCATAGCTTTTTAAAACAAAATTTTTGAATGAGTGAAGGAATATCCAAAAAAAACAAGAAAAAAGCAAATATTTTGTTTGTATACTATCAATGAAATTTTATATTTCACTAGCAAAATCTTGGCTCAGTTTTAGTATTTCAATTTCAATCGTTAGTTGCTCCTTCAAATCAGCAATTCCGAATTCCAGAATATCTAATTCCTTTCTGTGATCAGTTGTAGGAAATCGATTTCTTAGGGAATTATACATACTATTATTTCTAGTAGGACCATGTGGCGGGATTCTGGATGTCGATCTAGATGACTTTTTGACCTGTCTCTTTGGTTCTTCTTTCCTTGTCTGGGTTTAGTTTCTGTAATTATTTTGTAAATGTTTTATTCTTCTGTAATGAAAACATCTTCTGTTTCGATTTTGAGATTTTTGTTGAAATAATAAGATAGGTTGTTAATTATCTGTAGTAGTAACTTCATCATTTTTTCAAAATCTTATTTTTTTATTTTGGGCAAGATCTGAAAATATTTTGCGCTGCTTCATGCTCTTCAGCTGAGACTAGTGCTGAATTTGGCGTTTTGTGGTGTTGTAATAAAAGAACTTGTTGCAGTTCAACGTCTTGTACTCCATCTATAAATGCCTATACACTAATTTGTTCCCTAAAATATTTAGGTGTCTAAGGGTACCCTAAATGCTATAATCTTGTAATATCGGGTTCAAATTCTTGCAGGCTTTCGTTATGCTTTTGAGTTTCACTTTAAGCTGACTTTGGAAAACCTGCTTTAGATGCTGCTGGCAATTTTTATTCTCTAAAGATTGAACAAGAGAGTTATAACTGGGTGCATCCTAGAGAAGAAATTGACAACTGCTGCCTGTGCAGCACTACTAATGAGAATACTAAGGAAGCTGCTATTTTTCTCATTCCAACCATTTGCTCTAACTGCAGCTTTGAATTAAAAACAATAAGTTTTCCATGATGTTTCATGATCATCATTGGTGCTACAGCGTTATAAAAGAGCCTCGACCTTCCCAAGTCTATTACGCCAGTCAGTTCTATCCATTACCAACTGTTGCCAGTTTTCTCCGCCTATTTTTCTACCATCCTCATCTACACCATCTCTCCATCTGAGTTTTGGCCTACCCCTACTTCTACTTCCCACAGGTTGTGACATAAGGATTCTTTTAGGAGGATTGTTCTGCTGTGATCTTGCTAGATGTCCTGCCCATCTTAGTTTTCATATTTTTATAAGAGATACTACGTATTTACCACCAAATATATATTTACATTTGTGATATATCTCATAGTTGTACCCCCTTCTCCAAACACCATTTTCACAGATGCCACCGAATATTCTTCTCAGGATCCTTCGTTCAAATATAACCAGCAGGTTTTCATCTGCCTTGAAAATGATCCATGTCGCCGATCCATATGTCAACACTAGTTGTATAAGGGTTGTGTATATGGTAATTTTTGTTTTTTGGCTTAAGTTTCTGCTTCTCAGATGTCTACTCAATTCAAAATAGCATTTGTTTGCTAGGATTATTTTTCGCTTGATTTCTTCCGTCATGACGTTTTTCTTGGTGATCAGGGAGCCTAAGTATGTGAATTTGACCACCACTTCAAAGGTAGAGTTATCAACAGTGAATTGGTGGACAAGGTGGTATACATTTCTTCTAGTTGGCGTGTTGTGCGGGCAAGTAGATCAACATCATCTGCATATGCCAAAATTTGGGATAATTTATTAAAAATGTTTTTTCTGTTGTTTCTTTGAGCATTCCTGACCGCCTTTTCCAGAGCTATGTGGAAAAGGAGACACTCCCTGTCGCAGCCCAACATGCGTTTCAAATGCCTGTGATTGTTCGCCCTGTATTTCGACTTTGCAAACAACTTTACGCATTGTAGCCTTAACCAATCTTATCAGTTTATCGGGGATGTGAAATTCATCCATGGCTTTATACAATTTATTTCTTAGGACATTATCAAAGGCCTGTTTAAAATCTCCATGATGTTTAGCTATCAAAAATGAATGGTTCTCAAATTTTGCTAGTTCTAATTAAAACTGTTTAGATTCGACATTAGTTACTGAAACAATATTAGATAAAGGATCTTGGGTACCAATTTTTCTTTACAACGCAAGTATTTGGATTTTAAAATAAGATTTTAAATCGATTTGCTCGTACTCGGTTGTATTTTCTAAATATCGTTTTATTCTTCTAATCTACCCATTTAATTGGTGATTTGACTTATCTCTACCTTAAAATTTTCGTGAAATTGCAATAAACTATATATATATATATATATTATATATA